GGGGCGGGGGGGGGAGGATGAAAGTGTTGCGCTAGATAGTTGGCATCACGCGTTTGCACCGCAACTGTAAAATACATCTACAGAGGGCTCAGCGTACAGTCCTCATCACTGTCGGGTCGCAATCAGCGCTTCCCACCTGCGGCCTTGCTGATTCCTTCCTACATCGATCATTGCTCGATCACCATTGGTAGAGCAAGGCGGCCGGACGCGAGCTCGTGCCGCGCTGCGCTCGCCGCCCCGACAAATTGCAAGGTTACAAACTATAAGTACTGTGCAGATGAGGGGAGTAAGGTCGCCTCAGATGGATATGGCAGCGTACTTCATGCGAGTGTAACACCTTCTGTAGACGTGGACTTTCGACTCGAAAAGCAGCCTTGAGTATTTGAAAGAGCCATGGCCCCACAATTTAGTTGTGGATTCGCAAATAATTGGCATCTAGCCGACCAGGTATACAAATGGGAGAAGGGTCACCACCAGAGCAGCATAATATGCCACCAAGTGGGACAAAAGTTCGAGGGTAATAAGATGGTCTGACCATTGTTCAGAACAACCAACACGTTTACCATTGCACCATGCGCTTTCACCATCTGGTGCGATGAACCTCATCCCGAAGACAACCATGTGGTGTCAAAGAGCAGGAACTGTGACCCTCTGTAGAATGGCAGCACTGCAGTTTGTCATCGAATCAGCTGATGAAGTTTTTTCACTCACCTAGCTATCCTGTTCCAATTACTGATTTGGATTGATGTTGAAATAATTGTGTAAAGGGTGGAGACGTTTGGTAGATGCCTGTGCCTGAATTTCCTGCACCGCTAAGTACGACGTGACAATCAGGAGCTATCCATGATTGCTATGATTAATTCAGAGCACCAAAAATGATAAACACTTGGTCAAGTGGGAAACAAAGAAAAACAAATATGGGAAAAGATTACACTTCAGAGCACAGGAGGTTCGTGGTTCGCCTGTCACCCCAGACGAACCATCATTCTCCCGGCAAATGTCGTCTGCTAGGATATTTTATTTGCTACTACTGATTCAGACTACGCAGACGATGCATGGATGATAATGGTGACTACAAACCATGCACCGTCAGCCAAACACCATAACGTCTTCTACGACTCAATCATTCGTGGAAAAGAGCGAACTTATGTCGCAGGAGGTGGCGAGTTCTATGGAGGAGGTGGCGCTGATGGCTGCCAATGTGCTGCAAAAGCAGCATCATGCCCTTCAGGACCACCTGGTGAGAATTACTCAACTCTGCTAACTTGACACAAGGCTGACAATCCTTTATTTAGGACCTCCTGGATATGCGGGAATACCTGGAGAGGACGGTAGCCCTGGACTACCTGGACAACCGGGTATCCCTGGTGAGGCCGCTCCTCAAGCCCATGAGGCAGGATGCATCCAATGCCCAGCTGGGCCTCCTGGTCCACAAGGACCGGATGGAGCGCCTGGTCCAGCGGGAGTTCCAGGACTTCCCGGAGAAGATGGGCTGGAAAACTCAGGCGGTATATCCAGGATTTGAATCATTATCGTCTGACGTCTGAGTTAAAGCTCCATTTTCAGAGCAGCAAAAAACATTTTCAGGTTTCGCCGGGCCTCCTGGGCCTCCAGGACTGCCTGGTCGCAGCGGGAACCCCGGCATACCAGGACAAGATGGATCACCTGGAGCACCAGGTATGTGTTACCCTGAAAGGTAGTTGTGCCCGTATGCGAAAACTGTGAATCTTCAGCTGTATACATTCAGGGACTCGAACAATTAACCATCCAGGGCCAGAAGGCCCCCCGGGGCCACAGGGAGCTCCTGGTTTTGATGGTCAGGATGGCATCAGTAATGGAAATGGTTCACCAGGACCAGCAGGACCACCTGGTCGACCTGGCAATGCTGGAGTTCCAGGAAGGCCAGGAGCTCCTGGTCAACCCGGTTATGGTGGAAGACCAGGATCGGACGCCTCTTATTGCCCATGCCCAGCAAGGAAAGCTGCTCGATTCTGGACAGAGGACGATGAACCTGAAAGTGTTGCCAGAAGACGTCGCGTCAGAGTGCGGAAAATCAAGAAATCAAAGCGTAATCTGCCTAACAAACCGCTACAGTGAAATTCAAAATCATTTTTCTGCACAAAGGTATAGGAGGGCTATTGATCAAGCTCCTTTTGACGGTAGAAATATTGTATCAAGTACTCGATATTCGGAAACCAAAGAATAAAAGTTGTTTTCTCGTCAAAAATGGCAGAGACACTACTGGTA